CCGAGACTCCGACCGCAGGTTCAATGCTGACGACCGAGCCAGACACACTCGCTTCATATCGCTCTGTCTCTCTTCTCATTCTGTATTCTGCTCAGCATCTGTCCCTCTTGTCCCGCATGTACAAATGTCTCCCTCTTTTGTTACAATCTGGCTTGGTGGCACTGTGACATTTGACAAGTAGCATAGCAAATAACACTATCCATCCCGTGCACTTTGAATTATGATGTTCACACCAGTGATTACTGCTTATAGAGCAGCTGTCACATCTGCACGGCTTTTCTCTGTGTCAAAAGTGGAGCACCTTTTAACACCAGACTAATGACTTATTGATTATGTCATTATTTCCCCATATTATTTTGTCAGAGCTGGGAATATTAAAATCGACTGCCCTACTTTATCATCATGCCTTTTTGTGCAAATGAGACCAACATTGATAAAAAAGAAGTGCAACTCTTAGATGAAAACTGCTCCAAATCTCATCCTTTCTGAAGTCTGGCTCCATACTGAGTGTGTTCGACATGGGTGGGGTTTGGGTAGGTGTCAAGGCTGACAGTAATGGATGAGCTCCTGTCCAACGTGTGCCGTTTTCTATGCCTTTATATGTGAAAGTGAGGTGCATATGTTTGTCTGTGTGGCGATGACACTGATGGGAAGCCACTTTCTATTACCACAGTGAGTGAAAGGGCGAGAGAAACAATACGAGACAGGAGTGCTTTTGTATATCAGATGCCAACTTGAATTAGGTATAGCTGATGATTACCAGCAACAATTGAAAGCATTTCACTCAGAAAATGTATTCACAAAAGAGAAAAAACATCAGCTACGGTAAACAAGCATCATTTTTTGGAGAATACAATGAAGCGAGGTTCAATAGAAAGAAAAAAAAGGCTCTGAGGGGTAAAACCAGCAGATAGATGGCAAAATGGGTTCGTAGGAAAGATGAGGAATGTTTCTTTTTTTCAGCCAGTATGAATGTGCGTAAGATGCCTGCATTGCTAAGAGTGTTTTTCATTCAGGTTGTTAAATTATTAAACAGTGACCAACTCTAAAAGCTTTGGACTATCTTTGTTGACTGTACCAACACAGTTGGGGTACATCTCCAGTATCTAAAATTAGCCACATCTTGTTACGTAGATAAAGCACGTCTGAACGCAACTAGATGATTAATAATGAATCAAGTTTCACGTGTACAGTCAGTGCTTTTGTAGAAGTCTGGTCTAATAACTCAAAAGAGGAAATCTGGTATTTGTTCAAACTGATGATGTTCTTATACTTTCCATTCAACTTTGAGGGCACCATGAATCTCTCTACAAAGTGGCATGGCAATCCATCCAATAGTAGTTGACACAAACCATCTTCTCCTGTTTGCTACAGCTTTTCCAACATACCTACAAGCTAAACTGAAAGTGAGTCACACCTTGGCAATAACAAGCCAGCTTTATGCATGACTACAGGTAAGACAAGCTGACCAGGAAGTTGCTGCAATAGGATTTGGTTGGATCATAAAGTGATTAAGAATGCAAGAGCGGTGAGTAAATTGTAAACATGAACAATTGTCATAAAGCCTTAGTGTCATAATCATAATATATCATAATCCTAATAAGGATAAAGTCGTCATAAAGCACTTTTCCAAACAAAGTAACAAGGTGCTCAAATGGTTAAAATCACAGCAAAAAAAGAACTGCAATGGCATGAAATCAGACAATTACAACATTACGGTCTTCAACCTTCCTGCATTTTCCCACGCTGCTCCTCCGCTCCCTTCACTGGCTTCCAGTAACTGCTAGAATCCACTTCAAGACAATGGTACTTGCGTACCATGCTGCGAATGGATCTGGTCCTTCCTACATCCAGGACATGGTTAAACCGTACACCCCAGCACGTGCACTCCGCTCTGCATCAGCCAAACAGCTCGCCGCACCAGCACTGCGAGGGGGACCCAAGTTCCCATCAGCAAAAA